TAAATTCCGTTTATTCCACTTCTTAAGATATTTCTGCAGACTTTTAATTCGATGGAGGGAAAAGGTGTTTCCTCCCTCCCCCTTTCCACGGTAGGACCTGGAACGAGGGCCCGTCCTCATTGCAGGCAGCATTGTGCCATTAAACTTTGGTTAAGACTGCAGCAAAGTTACACCTAATAGGTAATTCCACCGAGAAAATAGAACACAGTGAGAGAAAAAACGGAGCAAGCAGAAAGCTTCGCGAATACTCGCATTTCCAGCATAAGGTTGGGTCACATTTTGTTACGGAAATCACTACGGAAAGCAAAACCCCAGAATGCTGTAATATGAAACCCGTGGTAACACCGGTGGGACATGATAGGAAATAAAAGACATATAGCAAACGAGACAGAAGAAAAGTATATTTATTTATCATGATAAGCTATTATATGACCAAAAAGAAGCCCGATAATTGTAAAATAAATACACTGTTAGGTTGTCTCTACAGGAGAATATGCGAGTTCCAGGAAGCAGTTCAGAAGAAGCTGCGATCAATGGAACAAGGGTTTTATTCCCCTGACGTTTCAGGGGAATAAAACCCTTGTTCCAGTGATCGCATCTTCTTCTTCAGGTCTGATAATTCGGATTCGAATCAAAAAAGAGAACGTTGAACGAATCAGACTTTGGCCAAATTTTTCCAAAAATAATCGGATTCAAAAATTTAAATCTCATTTTCAACTGAACTTTCTGACAAAAAGCTCCTTTAAAAACTGCAGTAGTAAAGTAAGGTTTGGAAGACCGTTCATAGCATTTTTAATAAAGTATAAATCTCAAATGCGATGAGAACCTCACTGTTAAGTAATATCGAATAAGGTTCTTGATTCTGTATATTTCTATACATTTCTGTTATTTTGTTGCGGGGTGCAATTCAATATGCGGATGGACTATGTCGAACGTTTGTGATGAGTAACAGCCGACGCCAGAGTATTAGAACAAAACATACATACTAATACAACATAAGTAGACAGCTGTGCAGATTAAGCGAGGATTTTACACTTTTTTAGTACGCCAATGGTGTGCTGGAACAGAGGCGCAATTTAAAATATGCAAATGAGGGACGTGTGAATAGGCAATCTAAGATTTATAATAAAGTACTTTGGGCTGGGTAACACGGTTTAATCCTCAACTTCAATCCTAAAGCTATACCTAACCTAATTCCTTAAATTAACCTCAACCTTTGTGGAGCTTAGCCGAAAATCTGACATGCCTATCCAGATCAAATCAGCAGGCATGTTATGGTGATAAAATCCAAGGACTTAAATATTTGAATACCTACCAGCCCACTTATCCCATGCCACGTACACATAAAGGCTCAATGGCGGGGACAAGTTACCAGAAGCTGCGTAGTCTTAACTCATGGGATTTCGGAGAAGTGGTTGCGTAGGAAGATGAAGAAGAAGATGATAATAATAATAATAATAATAATAATAATAAGGAGAAGAAAGAGCATCAGGGGCAGGAGAAGAGTGGGGAGGAGGAGCATGATGAATATTAGTAGAATTAGAAGGACGACAGAGAGAGGAGGGGAAGACGAAGATGAAAAATGCTCCTAAATCGAACTTTTTTACTCCCAGAAGCCAGCTTGTTAGTATGAAAGCGCGTTTTTGAAAAAAAAGTATTACAAAGGTATGAGCGTGGCCGTGGGCTTTATAATAGTGCTAGAGTAGCAACAGCAACCGTAACGCTATATGCACTATGTTAGAATCTACTCATAATAAACCTTAGTCCGCAAGTTCCTCGTACAGTTAAATAAACCGATACATGAGCAATACGACATTACGAAAGTATTCTATAACTGATCATCGTTAATGCGGTAAACAAGCGATAAGCAAAACTTGCCAGTTGCAGAATCATATTCCGAGTCTCATCAGCTAAAGTCGTCAAGTAATCCTGTGCCGATTTTATAGTTGGAATTTGCTGAGACACGGACGCCAGTCCCTTACGGTATGTTGGGAGCACGTTCTTCGTCCAAAATGCTGTAATTGCCTCATGGTATTGGTTTAGAGTCTGAAGCCCTGGGCTTATTATTGTAGCCATTTGAGCTAAAAAGGTTAAGAAGAAAAAAATTTTCTAGTAAAGAATGAGGAACGTGAGGTGAAATAGGACCTTCTATGACTATAAATGACTGGGCTGTACAAAAAGATTCCAGGTACTGGTAATTTCAGAGCAAAACCTTTGTGATTTTGTGGGGGGACCCCAGTAAAACCCAAAGGGTATTCGCGGTACATCTTGGCATGTTGCCCAAACGTCGTCCTGTCCCATTGTCATTTTCAGCTTACTACTGATGTTTCCTCCAGTTTATGTCGAAGTGAAGTCTAGGATATGCTAGCCTAAATGAGGTAGAGCGGATCTGAACAGCAAACTGAAATCGCTTACACACTCTCGCACAAACTGGATCAACAAAATGACCTGATTGCTAAGATCTCGGACGTACATTCATAGAGTTGTCGTTGCCGAGCATCTTGCCAGCGATGTGGCGCTTAGTACGCATGCTGTGGAAGCTCCTGGTGGTGGTCTTCGCTCGCTCATTGGACTGTAACGCCTTCCAGTTGCGTCGCGACGGCGCGCAACAGTTCACCTGACCGCAGTTCAGTCCGATCTGTCTCTGGGACAGCCAATCATAAATGCTCTCAAATTGCTGCTGGTAAGTCAACTGATCAAGTGGCCGGTGACTCAATCTCTCGCAGGACGTGTATGCATTCAAGCCCAAATCACACACCAGCGAACCAACACGCACGCAGGTCCGGAGATTGCCGCAAATCGGGGATCTCTGGCCACCATGGAGTTTTTGTAGAGCATACACAACTCCTATTGGTATTTATCCGGGCATAGTTATGCTAGTGCTCAGAGCATATCCACGGCTTGTGTGTTCGACCATTGATTTCGATGAAATCCACCAAGTGACGGTGACAGTCTCACATTCTTACCTTCTCCTCACCTTCACCCGCGGTCAATAAGACAAAACGGGACTCGACGTTGGTCGCTTTCTCCAATGCAGGCCAGAAACACCACCTAACTTAGCCTTAAGTGACAGTCGACTTTGCGCGGGTACTATCGCACTGTTTATCCTCACTCACCGTCAGTAGGTGTTAAGACAGGCTCAAGGAGGCAGAGGCGGATACGGCTATTCCTATTTCTACTACTACTAGCTAGCAATGTAGCTACGCGTTAGTAGTACGTGTACTAACAATGACGCTACCATTTGTCAGAGGTGACGCTGATTAAAGCCAACGCTGGGGCTCATACCCCTTTGATCTCAACAAGGAGTGTAAATCTGGGTTTAACTTATTCCGAGTAAGTACATGTTCAGGGCCCTGAGCATAGCAGAGGTTGCCTTGGTTTCCACAATCTCAACTCTGTCCATCAGGCTGCATCAGTTTCTACTATATTCGGACTACGATAGGCTGGCAAAAGTACGTGCCTATGCTAAAGTGAAAATTCTAGTAGCTTGCTTACCAAGGCCAGTAGATAGTATACTATACGTACTGCCTGTGGGGGCTTTTTAAAAAGTCGGCACCCATTATGCACTCTCAATCTGTATGAAATAAAGCGATTAGCTGATGGGTCAAATAAAACGTTATTAAATAACAGCACAAGTCCTACCATGCCTTTATGTCGTAAAGTTTGCCGTCTTTAGATTACATATAGGCCTACTACAGCTGTTGCTTTGACTTAACAGAACGTCTTCTCATATCCTCTCGATTCACTTAAGGAATGTGAATCTGGATTTATGCTCTTCCGAGTAACTAGATGTTTGAGGCCCGAAGCACATCAGGGCTTTCCTTGGTTTCCGCCCTCTCACCTCTGTCCACCAAAAGCTGTGCCACGTTGTATTAAGTTTGGTTTAGGATACTACTGCTAGAGGTAATACGCCACTGCTAAGATTGCTAACTCTATTAATCATACTTACTAAGACCAGCAGATACTAGATTCTAGTAATGCATTCCTATAACTGTATCAATAGCTGACATGCATCTTATTATTGCAACAAGCGTAATGGATGGGAATATGAGCTGGGCTGATGTTTAAGACACCCGGACAGGGGTTCACGTCCAATAAATAAGTGAGATTTTGAGATCCACGGCTTAGACTCCGAAAGACCTACTGTCCTCTTCTTTAAGAACTTTTTTCCACTGCAGACCAAGACAGGAGGCCTCTATTTCGCTGAAACACTCGTTAATGTTAACAGCCGTAGGCGTAACAATAAGGCAACAGGTAAGTAAACGACCATCTCCTTGAAAGTGCCGTTTGAGACTATTGTAAATCTACCAGAATTGGAGGTCTAGGTGACCACAATCGATGCAGCATTAAAGAAAGACTGGCTAATAAGTCAGAACTGGC